AGCTGTGTCAAAATTTGGGCATAAGCATAATGATCGACACTTGGATAACTAAAAAAACTTACAAATTATTTAAAATGTAAAAACCGTTTGCCGCCCTCATTAAGGGGAAATGTAAATGCTGAATGTAAAATATCTGTCTCATTACCCAACAGAAGAATTCTACCCTCCTCCATAGTAGCTGGAGCAGCAATAACCATGTTGCAGACTATTTATAGTATTAAATAAAATTTAAAAATTTTTAAATAATCAAAGGGCATTTCTAAAGATCGTGAAATCGTTGGAGACACACCCAAAAAAATTAAAACCAAAAAACATTAAAAACAATATCCGATAAAGTTGTTTACCATAACTGTTTTATCGGCAAAATCACAATTCTTTAGAATCGTCCAATTGTCGGAATAAATTCAACGAATATTCAAAAAAAAATAAAACTGATTGTGGGATATTTAATGGATCTCAATACATAAATGAAAACAACAAATTTACTTAAAATCATTACACTAAAGTGATAGATCTCGAATTTAAAGAAAATCAAATATAAAAATAAATCCAAAAATATTTTCTTCCTTCATTCTAATTAACGTCTTGGAGGTGAACGAAAGCGGCCTCCTCCACCATTTCCAAGCGGAATAGAATTTGCGCCAGTGCTGCGTGAAGGTGGAGAACGGCTTCGGCGAGGACGACGTGCTGGAGGCGATACTCCACTGCGATTTGCGCCACCCATACGGCGCGGAGAACGAGAACGATCACGCTTAGTACCCCCAAAGTTGGCGCCAAACGAACCTAGTGGAGAGCTGCCACGACCTTAAATTTAAAATAAAAAAAAAACAAACAAGAAAATTAACCTGGACGGTAAGGAAGAGTCAATTCGCACTGAATTTCCAACCCATCAATTTGGCCACCATCCATATGCTTAATTGCTTTCTCTGCATCCTCAGCCTTCTCATATTCTATATAGCCATAACCACGAGGAATGTGTATATGAACACGATCCATTGGTAATTCACAAGATTTAATAACACCAAACAATGAGAAAATTTCTTCCAAATGTGCCTTTGTGATATTACGGCTCAGATTGCTAAAATAATAAACTAGATATAACTAGATAATAATTAAAGGACAAAATTCCTTTCAGAAAGATAACAAATATTACTAAAAAAATACTACACCTACCGAGCACAAACCCGTTTCGGTTGTGGTTCAGGAGTACGTTCCCGACGTTCTCGCAGTGGAGAAGCAGCTGGTCTTTCACGCTCACGGCGTGGAGGTGAACGACGCACAGGAGAACGAGACCGATGACGTGGTGGCGATGCCTGTCGACGGCGTGCTGCAGGTGACGGTGAACGACGTGAAGAACTAACAGTAATTTTTTCAGACTTCGGTTGAGGCACACGCCGAGGAGAACGAGACCTCGCACCTCTTAAAGTCCATCTAATTAGGGGAAATTAAAAATAAATAAACCTTCGTGGTGAGCGGCGATTTGTAACAGGTCGCTCACTCCGTCCAGCAGCTGGACGACTCTTTTTAGGAGTTGGTGAACGTGATGCAGAACTTGTTGAACTGGATGATGAACCAGAGCCTGAACTAGAGCCACTAGTTGATGAACTAGCCGAACTTGAGCTACTTGAACGAGAACGACGTCTAGGTTTTGACTCTACCATTATAACTTTGTTGTGTCTGAAAAAATGAATAATTAGACAATGTTGAGAAATATCGTATAAAACAAAAATCGAATGGATATGGAATATTTTTGTTTAAGATTCAGCAACACAAGGCAGTCAAACTGGAGAGCGAACTCAACCATTCAGACTCAAATGGGTTACTGAAAAGTTCCTGAAATAACGGAAATAGTGAACGACATATCGACTTTTTCTTAAGGAAAAAAAGTCGTTTTAAAAAAATCTACAATTATTCGCGAACGACTTTTTTTTAAACACACAACGCCAGAACTACGTTAATATCGATGTTTTGCGCCAAACGATTGCGAATCGACTTTTTTGTGTCTCTTTTTCTCTAATTTCACATTATATTTCCTTTCTCTTTTTCTATTAATTTTCGTTCGTGTAGTCTCTCCTTTGGAATTTACAATTTTCCATTTTTATAAATGTTCAGTCCCTTTTCTGTAATTTTTAGGGATTTTTCCACATATCTATATTCTTACTATATGGAGAGGAGAAGTAAGAGGAGATGATGCCAAAAGTGGATTGAAAGCCTTTAACAGGAAGATGAGTGAAATTTTCATTGAAAATCCGGAAAGTCTTTCCATCATCAGATGTGCTGCTTACCTTGATCCTGCCGTTTGTTTCCCCACCTCCCCTAAAACAGATCTCAAATTAAAAATCAAGACAAACTTTTTTGTGAAATTAATTTATGTATCCGTGATTCAAAAACAAAGTAAATAATTATAAGGACGACAAAACAAAATAAATTTAAAGAAAAACAAAGTCAACGAGGAGATCAATCCATCAAAACCTTTTACATTAATTTAATCAACTTCCTCCATACGCGAAGCGTCCTCCTCTGCACCGGCAATCTTTTCGACAGGTTCCCCAGAAGTGCAGGGTTGTTGCTCTCCTCCTTCCAAGTCCTCTTCAGTAATATCCAATCCTAGTTTTACCATTCGGTAAATACGTGAAGCGTGTTGTTGTGGATCTTCAAGAGAGAAGCCTAACACTAAAAATAAAACAAATATTCCAAAATTCTTTAAACAAAATCTTAAATACCTTAATAACTTTGCAAAGTTTCTCAAATTTAACTTTATCTTCTTCAAACCTCGCTTCAAACCTCGCTTCTTAAAAAACTTCAAAACCTCGCTTCTTAACACGTTCAACAAAAGCTGAGTTTTGAACAACTTCTTTAGACTCGCCAGTAATATAATAAATGCAAGTCTGATTCTCCTTCATTCGTCCAACATAATCCTTCAAGCTAACAAGTTCATCGCCAGAAGAGGAAGTGTTGTAACGGAGATATTCGGCAAGCTTTTTACGGTTGACAGAATCTTCGTGAATACCCAACTAAAGAACAAATAATTTTCAAAAAAACATTTAAAAAACCTTAAGATTCTTGCTGAATTGTTCATAAAATTTCTTAAAGTTGGTCTTCAGCAATTTCATCAAAAAGTTCGATACACTTCTTGACCAAATTCTTTCGGATCACTTTAAGAATTTTGGATTGTTGGAGCATTTCACGAGAAATGTTAAGAGGAAAGTCCAATGGAGAGAATTCCAATGGAGAGACAACGACATAGAAAATTAATAGAAAAAGAGAAAGGAAATATAATGTGAAATTAGAGAAAAAGAGACACAAAAAAGTCGATTCGCAATCGTTTGGCGCAAAACATCGATATTAACGTAGTTCTGGCGTTGTGTGTTTAAAAAAAAGTCGTTCGCGAATAAAAGTAGTTATTCGCCGCGAATCGACGAAAACGTAGATATGTCGTTCACTAAACGGAAAGGCAATTTCAGTATCGATGACTCAGTCTTTAAGCCATATTTTGGGTCATAACTTTTTCAATTCCTAATCGATTTAGATAGTTTCGATATAACCCAAAAGGTTATATCGAAAGCTCTTGATATAAGGATTATTTTATCTAACAGAATTTATCTTATCAGATCAAAATACAAAAAGTTACAGCCAAATAAATATCAAGAATCGCGATTGCGCGCACTTATCTAAATGTAACTTTTTGTAGGTTGATCTGATCAAATTAACTAGTTGGAAAATAATCCTCACATCCAGGGCTTTCGAGTGATAAAACCTTTATTCTAATTAGTTAAACCCAAAAGGTTATGGCCCAACATATGGGACTCAACCGGCGGGACTCAATGATCCCCTATCTCCTGAAATACATAACGCCAATATACAGTAGACAAAATCAATTAGTATAAAAGAATCATTTCTGCTTTTATTTTAGTGTCCACTTTGATAGAAAAAAGTTGTTTGCTGTGTTGGGCTTATTATTATTTTCGTTTTTGTTACCCTTTATGAGAAAATTTGCCTTCATTTATTTATATTTATTTAAACGCGTTTTGATTTTTTAGTTTAGTGCTTTAAAATATAAAAAAATGAGCAGACCGAAAGTATTCTTTGATATTACTCTTGGTGGCAAGGCGGCAGGTTTTTAGTAAATCTGTTTTATAAGGATATTCTAAACGTTTAGGTCGCATTGTGATGGAGCTGTTTTCGGACATCGTTCCGAAGACGGCGGAAAACTTTCGTGCTTTGTGTACTGGAGAGAAAGGAATGGGACATAGCGGAAAACCTTTGCACTACAAAGGATCTAAATTCCATCGTGTTATTCCAAACTTTATGCTATAGGTGTCTGATTTTATTATGATTATATTGACATTAAAATTCAGGGAGGTGACTTCACTCGTGGAAATGGCACTGGTGGCGAGTCTATTTATGGAGAGAAGTTTGCCGACGAAAACTTCAAGGAAAAGCACACTTGCGCCGGTCAATTGGTATATAATTTATTTTTAAAACTTGTTTCTGCTAAATTTCACTTTCTAGTCTATGGCCAATGCTGGACCTAACACCAATGGATCTCAATTCTTCATTACGACTGTTAAGACTGAGGTTTATAGTCTTCTTATAAGCGACGATTATATTTTAATTTTCAGTGGCTCGATGGGAAGCACGTTGTTTTTGGCAAAGTGATCGAAGGAATTGAGGTCGTCAAAGCTGTTGAGGCTATTGGTTCACAAAGCGGCAAAACTAGCAAGGTATATTTGAAGATCAACTAGTCAAAAACTAAAATTCGTTTAGGATGCTGTCATCGCCGACTGTGGTCAATTGGCTTGATCATTTGATAGATTAGAAGGAATTTTGAATAAAAAAGGAATCGTAATAAAATAGAAAGTTTTCGATATTTAATTCCAGTATTTAAAAATGTTCTTTTGATTCCATGAAAATTATTTGTTAAAATTGTTCGTTTATGAAAAAGTAAATGTTGACTTTTGGTTTAAACATTTATTCTATAAAAATGGAAAAAGTATCTTTTATGATGAAATGTGTTCTTTTCTTTGTTTTCTTCGTCTATTCTCCGCTAAATCAAGAAATCCACTTTCATCAATTGAGAAACCTCGATTTTTCACATATTCTTTTATTGAATCTAGCTCGATCCTATTTTTGTATATCAATTCGTAGACACAATCACCTTGAAGAAAATTTAAAAGCTAATAATAACTGAAAAAGAATTACCTGGGACTGTATCTCCTCTTGTCAAATTACTTAATATATTTTCCATGTACTTAAATCCTTCGTCCTGTTGTGCCCAAAGTCGTCTTTCCTCATTTGCCACTTTTTCAACTATATTTCTTTCGTTGACCCACAAATCTGGATGAGCATCACCCTTAAATAACAAATTTTTAAAATAAATAAGTAAACAAACTAATTGTTTAGTGACCAAAGGCACTAATTTGGCAAGTGATCCTCGTTCTAAGCCTAATTTCGTATTGGAAATTATTGCAGTTTTCTTGAATAGATCTTTAATCTTTCTTCTAAAATTGAATATTAAAATAAAAATTTCTAGTATTCGGTTCGTGTTTAATCAAAAATTAAAAGTGCATACCTAATTTATCATTAAAAATATACCTACGCATATTTCTTAGTACTCGTAATATGCAATCCTTCAGCAAATGTTGCAACAATTGTGCGAATATGGTCAGAGACTATACGAAAAGCTGTGTCTTTTTCATTTGAATCTTCATGACCCCAACGTCCTTGATAGGTTAAACTATGAGGAGATAACTATAAAAAGTTAAGCCTTTTCTAAATGTCTCTACAAAAAAACCTCACTCATTTGATCAATTAATGGTTGAAATAAATCAGTCTCATAAGTAGAATTACAGTTTTGCATTATTGTACATAAACGTTCCAAACCCATTCCAGTATCAACAATTAACGGAGATGAGAGAGGTGTTACACGTCCATCACGATGTCTAATAAAAAAACATTTTAAAAGAAAAATGCCTAAAAACCTGTTATATTTCATAAAAACGACGTTCCAAAGTTCCATCAAATGAGGACTATCAAAATTAATAGGTGTTTGTCTTTCAATATTTTTACTCTTTTTGTCTTTACTATTAATCATTCGTCTATCAAAATGAATTTCTGTGCATGTACCAAAAGGTCCGATATCGCCCAAACTCCACAAATTTCGCTCAGCATTACAAGCAAATAAGTGAGTGTCAGGTACCCTATTTTTGAAATTAATTTAAAATATAATTAAAATAATAACCCCATCATTTGCCAGATATCCCTTGTTTCAATATCTTCATCATGAATTTCATCACCACCAAAATATGTTATATAAAGATGTGAAGGATTAATGGAAAGTTTTTGAGTTAAAAATTCCCAAACAAATTGTAAAGCTTCTTCCTTTAAATGATGAGAATTATAATTTTTTAAATAATAAAATTAACCTTAGAACAATCACCGAATGACCAATTTCCAAGCATTTCAAAGAATGTGTGGTGTTGATCATCATAACCAACCAAATCTTTATCGTTGAGTCGAATACATTTCTGCGAGTTAACCAAACGTTTTGCAGGTGGTTCTTGCTCACCAATAAGAATGGGAATAAACTTAAAGATTTTATTTATAACAATTTAGGTCAGAAAGGTAAAGTGCAAGTAAAAATGCAAGGAATTTTGGATGATTTATACCAAAAATTAACCTGTTGCACTCCAGCACATGTAAAATCACTCTGATTATATAAATTATGTTTAACGATTACTGGGCCAGATGGAACTTTTAAATGAGAACGACTGATGAAAAATTGCATAAAAAGTTCACGTAAATACTTACTAGTATTCATAATTCTAAAATTGATTAATATTTTGGATCATAATATAATTTAAATTTTTTAAAGAAAAAATAAGGAAAAACACCTAATTAAACTCTTCCATTATAAGTTAAAGATTTAAACCAAAAACATTATATAATTTAAAACATCAAAACAACGATAGAGTAATTAATGAAAAAATAAAATGTAAAAACAGAACAGATTTTTCGTAAATAAACAAAAAATTCTTTTATTAAGTTTCAACCTTCTTTTTCTTCTGTTCAACAGGTTCATCATCCTCTGCAGTTTTCTTGTTATCTTCAACATTTTCATCCATTTCTTCAGTATCCTTTCCATCCCCTTTTTCATTTTCTTCATCCTCATCATTGTCAAAAACAGTTCTCTTAAAAAATAAGGATTTGTTTAAAAAACTAAAGGGTAAGAATTATGCGCGAATTTTTTTAAGATTTCCAAAACAAGAGATAACTATTTTTAAGTATAAAAATATTTTTTAAACATACCTTTCCTGTCTTTTCATTCTTTGCTACATGTCCAGATCCCTTATCTGCTCGTCGTTTCCTATTTGCTTTCGAGTTACGGTCAAACTGCTTCTTGCCTTTCTGTTGCTTTTCAACCAAGTCGTGTTTTGCCAATTTTGCTTTAGAAAAGTCGGCCCAATATTTTTCTTCATCTTCACCATCAAGCACCGATCCGGTAATTTCATTACCTTCAAAGATCACTTTTCCCTCCGAATCGCCATTCTCTTTCGCCGAGTTCACCGCCTTTTGCCAGGCACTACTTGCTGCATCTTCTTCGACAGAAAAGAAGCGAATCGTCGCCTAAAATTTGTTTTGAGAAAGTATCAGAAAACAAAAAAACCTCATTTCCTTCAATATTAACATAAGCAGGTTTGCCAAAAGGTTCAAAAAATGCTTTTAACTTAGCAATCAATGATACATGATTGACGTCCTCATTCTTCATACCACAAATTTTCAAGACAACTCCCTTCTTAAAATGCGCCTTGTTTTGTTGTTCAATTTGAGTTTTCTTCATCTGTTTTTTCAAATCCTTTTGTTTAACACGTTCAGCGTGTTTATCTGCCCAGTAGGCATCTTGCATTTTGTTTACGAGCTGAAATTCTTCCTTAAAAACAATAAATAAATAAATAAATAAATAAGAGAAGAGAACAAAAATTACGTTAAATTTAAGATCTTTAATATCCGCAAGTCGTTTAGCTTGATCTTTGTCTTTAAAAGTAACAAAAATTGAGCCCTTGAACATTCGCGGAGTATCTTTTCCAACTTTAGTCTTTCTCATCAAAATATTTTCAACATCGCCAAACTTCCCAATAAATTCAGAGATCTCATCGAGTGTTGTTTCAAGAGGAAAACCTTTCTAAAAATATCAAACACAAATATATATAAAATAAAAATTTAATAAAAAACCAAATAAACAGTTCGTCGTTTAATTTCTTGCCAATACTCCAAAGTATTCTCAGGCATCGGCACCTCGGGATTCCGACGGATTTTTAAATTGTCATCAGAAATTTCGATCAAATGAGACTCTTTAAGCGATGCAGTAATATTTTCAATATCTTTAGTTAGAGCAGCAAGACGATTAAACTTAAGCATAGTAGAAAGAGGAATCCCTAAATATTTAATTAAGGAAAAATTATTTTAAATTTAAGCTTACATCCATTATCTTTTTTCATCTCTTCTTGAATAAACTTGTCACGCGGAAGATTAATATCCCCAAAGTAGTACTGAAATTTAAAAAAATTTGTAGAAAAATAAAATAAATGATTAAATAATTTTACCTCAACTTGTTTCATAATTTTTTCACATTTATTAGGATTAGTATCCTTTGAATTTCCATTCATAGCAGCAGACATTATTGAAAAGTTTTAACTGAAATATTTAGCTAAAAAATTATTAGAATGTTATTTCGAACAGTAAATTGAGAATTGGAGGGAATTGGGCGTAAAATAGGAAAAGCAGAATTTTCTTGGGACTGAAATGTCCAGGACGGTTAAATTGTTAAATTTGAAAGTGTTAAAATTAAAAACGTTAAATTACTGTAGAAGGGAAAAAGGGAAAAATTTGGAGAGTGAATTGAGCAAAAAAGTGTAACTTTTTTGCCTATGATCGTCCAAATTAAAAAATTTTTCGCCTGCGTACTGAAAAAAAATTTAGTTTTATTAATTTTTTTACTTTTAGATTGTGAAATAATGGAAGAAAATGTTAAAAGATTTAAAATAATTTTCTGGCCCGTTCATGAGTACCAGCATATTCCGCCAGACTTTGACGTTAAAACTAGAGAAATTGTTGAGGTTTTTTTATTAAATTTTAAGTTGAGATGGGTATTCCTCTACGAAAACAAAAAAATTAAATATGATTATTTTTTTATTTTAGAGCGCATTATCAGACAGTTATTTGCTCAACACCCTCCAATTTCGAATTGTAATTGACATTGAGCCACAGAGACTTGGAGAAGAAGAGCTTGATGCGCGACTTGAATATTCACTTAAATTAATGGAGAAAGCAACAAATGATCATTTGATGCACATGATCAATTTTTTTAATCTTTTTTTGCAACATAAAATTCAAATGGCTCAATATACATTTACTTGTGCCTTTGTTTTAACAACTAGAGAATTCTTTAAAGTTGACTTTAAGTATGAATTTTCGGATTATTTAACAAATTAAATATTAAATCTTTATTTTTTAGTTCTGCTAACCTTGAGATTCCTACACAGAATTGCTCATTTTTAAATATGATCGATCGTACGAAACCATTCTTACATCGAAAAGTTGCTGTAAATCAAGATCCAGCTCGAATAATGAACCGCTACTACAACAAGGCTGATATTGTTTGGCCTATGCTTACTGACTTTGAGCACGACAAGCGACAGCTAGTTATTCGTTTCCCTTTCACTGATAGACAACGTTTGTTGATTTTCCGTGATGTGAATTTTTTACATTTTTAGGTCGTGAGGAAGGTTCAGAAGAGGTTTGTTATGTTGTTTCTCTTACAATTCGCTACAGACAAATCAAACGCGTTTTGGCTGACTTCAAACATGAGAAAGGTCGTGGTCAATTTAGTTTGTATGTTCTTTTATTTTTAATTCTTATTTTAAAATTTGGGTACTTTCTGCACCAAAATTTGCCTTAAAAATTTAGTGCAGGATTTTTTTTATAAAATTTTTAACCTTCCTTCTTGTTATAAAGACATTGAAATCTTTTAACAATTAATAATTTATGTTCTTTAGGGAGCTTTACTTCCATCTTTCATCTCCGGCAATCATTCGACGTGTTAAGCTTTATGCTCAAGATCCTAAAAAGCCTGCTTCTAGTAATAATTTGTTACACAAGCAAGGTGATAGATACGTTTCTTGGGATCTTCGAGACCCTTATTTGGCGGGTGAAGTTAACGAATCGCCAATTTTTCGTATCATGTTATGTGATTTGGCAAATGAGGAGTATTGTCAGGTTAGTTTTTCATATATTTAAACTTTTTACTTTGTTATTATGGCAACACGACCTCCGTGGTAAACTAAAACGTATTTTGGAGGCAGGCCCGTAACTAGGATTTTTTTTCGGGGGGGGGGGGGGAATTTTTTGCGCCAAATTTTTGGCGCTGAAGGCGCCAAAAATTTTTATTTTCAGCGCCGCAGGCGAAAATTTTGAGAATTTTAGAAGGCCGTAGGCCAAAAAAATTCACTTTTTCGGCGCCGCAGGCGCCAAAAATTTGATTTTCAGCGCCGCAGGCGAAAATTTTTTGAATTTTGGACCTCAAGAAGCCAGATTTCGTCCTTTTTTAGCGCCGCAGGCGAAAATTTTTTAAATTTCAGAGGCCGTAGGCCAAAAAATTCACTTATTTTGCCCCAGCCCTTCCCCAAATTTTTTCCTTTTTCCCATTTCGGGGGGGGGGGGGGGAATTCCCCCCCTCACCCCCCCCCTGGTTACGGGCCTGTTTGGAGGGGTTAACATTAGATAAAATACAATATCGATACCAAAGTCAACATTCGTAAAATATCATAGATGGATTTTTGAATCTTATTTTTTGCTTTAACTTTGGGCTGCAAATCTCATACGCCAATCATTTTTATTACCATTTTCTTTTTTTTCAATTTTAATGCACTAACTTTCAGTCTTATCTACTTTAATTTTAGCTCTTAAATCGTTTGGCCATGTCTGCAGAGCGCTTTGTTGAATTCCGAACTTTTACTCCAGATGCTTTCTTTCCCTTTCGAAAGTTATAATTTTTCTCTTTTTTTTTAAATTTTTTTTAACTTTCAGGTTTATTCAATCTCCACTTGAAAATGAGAATTGTCGTCAGATGTGTGAGAACAATTATAAATTATTGTATATGATTGCAGCACTTTTATCTCGAGGAGCAATTGTTAAGGACTATTTAATGGTAACTGAAGCATCACGGGATGAATTTGTACAGCGGTGTTCAAAAGATTTTAAAAGGGATAAAGCTGTATGTGTTTCTAAAAGAATCATTTATTTTTTTTGTGTTTAGCTATCGTTGGAAGTTATTGAGCAAGTACTGGCTGAAATTGATAAACGTTTAGATTGCATCCATCCAATGCAAATCTACAAATGGATTTACCACCGTTTAAGTCGTAATGTTGATGCAATGAAACAAATCCATGAGGATATGATGCGAGAGGGATATGTACGCGTTAGAAAAGTTTATATGATTTAATTTTTAGATTTACTTTTTAATTTTTAGGTATTAATTACTCCAACACGAATGCTTTTTGTTGCACCTGAATTGTTAATGGGAAATCGTGTGTTGCGATTGGATGCTGAAAAATATCCTCTTGATAAATTTCTTCGTGTTGTTTTTCGTGATGATGATGGTAAAAAGATTAAAAGTTGTATACATGTAATATTTTTCCCTTAAACAGGACAATCTGTCCATGCTGTGAACATTGGTGCCGTTCTTATTGATCGTTTTATTGGATTACGCCTTAGAAATGGCATTGAAATTGCTTGTAATAAACTATTTTATTATATAATATTTTTCTATATTTAGGCCGTAAATTTAACTACTTTGGTTCTTCTAATTCTCAAATGCGTGATAATGGTTGTTATTTCATTAATGCAAGTTTTGAAGAAATCGAGGATATCCGTAAGCAGTTGGGCTCGTTCAAAATACAATCAGCGCCTAAAATGATGTCTCGGATTGCTCAATGTTTTACTCAAGCTCGGGTAGGCGTTGTGGAAAACTATTTTTTATTAAAGATTTTTTTAAGGAAACGGGCTTAGAATTGGAACGTCGTCATTATGCGACAATTCATGACTATCTTGGCGGCAAAGATACAAATTCTGAGCCATATAATTTCTCTGATGGGGTGGGGCGAATCAGTTACGAAACTGCTAAGGAATTGAGTCGTGAGCTTAAATTGGATGGTTGCGTGCCTTCTTGCTTTCAAATACGTTTTCGCGGCTATAAAGGTGAATAAGTTCTATATATTATCTCTTAAATTATAGGCGTTTTGTCTGTTGATAAATCTATGGATGAACTTCGTGAATGGGGAGTTCGCAATGGTGTGCAAGATACTACAAACTGGGAAAAGCGTGATTGTTGGCTCGATTTACATATTCAATTTCGGCCTTCGCAAAAGAAATTTAAAGCACCCAGAGCTAATCAAAAGTTGGAAATTGTTAAATATTCTTCACCTGTTTCATTGTGTTTGAATCGTCCTGTTAACAATATTCTTGATCAAGTGAGTTATATTTACTAGTAAAACTGGTAAATTTTTTAGGTATCTGCTCAACAGAGTAAAGCTTCTCATCAACGAATTTGTAATCGCATTCACCATCTTATGGATTTACATCTTCATATGCTGACACGCTCCTTAATTGACGAGACGAAAGCTCGAAATCGACTTGGTGAATTTCCTAAAGTGGTATGATAATTTAATTATAATAATCTAACAATAATAATCTAACAATCTAAATATAATAATGTTTCCTACTTTTTAGATACTTTATGATCAAATAACTGACCTTAATTTAACAAAAGAACCGTTCTTTCGTTCGATGATAAGTGCTTCTGTGCGAGCTTCATTGAGTATGTTGTCGAATTGGGTACACCTATGTACCGTAAGGCCAACGTACATTACTTTGTAATATTTCGATTAAGCTTGTCGAGACGCATTGAACCATACCAGTGCGTTCGAGATTCTTATTGATGCATGGGCTTGCGGTACATTGAAAGTCTCCCTTGCAGATTAAGTTTGCTTTCATAGTGTATTTTGTATTTTAAGAAAAGTTGCGCCTAAAACTTCAAATTCCCATTCCTACAACGCTGGGCCGTGCGATGTTTGGTATTGTAGATGAAAGTGGACAGTTACAATATGGACAAGTATTTATTCGTTACACAAAAAATGCTGCATTGAAATTGCCAATGCCAACAGCCGAGCGTCAAGTTCTAAAGGGTAAACTTCAATATAATTATACGGTTCTCTTGTGTTATTTCACTCCCCAGCCCAATTTTTGTTTTTTCCGACTTGATCGGCTGTAACTTTTTATGCTTATCTAATCCGAATGAATCTTATATCATTCTAAAGCCCTCCATAAACCCTAACTTTTTTCTAACGATTTTTCTAATGTGACTTATTTATATTTTTAGGTCCAGTGATGATCACAAAAAATCCTTCAATTGTTGCCGGCGATATACGTATGTTTAATGCTGTAGATATTCCTGCTTTGCATCATCTTTGTGATGTTGTTGTTTTTCCACGCTATGGACCTAGACCACATACAGATGAAATGGCTGGTTAATTTTTAAATCTCAAACTTTGAAAATATCTTATAAAGGTTCTGATTTGGACGGCGATGAATACACCGTGATTTGGGATGAGCAACTTTACCTTGATAAAAATGAGGATGCATTTGATTACACTTGCAAGTCTTTTATTTTTTAAGCGTATTATTCTTCTTGCTTACTAATATAAGGGCTCAAGAAGCAGCGGCAATAAGTGAGAAAGACTTACGTGATAAAATGGCAGAATTTTTTGTTGACTATATTAAACAGGACTCCATTGGTCGTATTGCAAATGCATTCTTAGTCAATTCAGATTTATATGGCATCAAAAGTGAAATTTGTATGAGAGTGAGTTTTTCCAATTGTTAAGAATTACGTCAATTCTGTCTTCAATTTATTAATTTCGTTCTTTTTTACTCAGATAGCTGCAAAACATATGGAAGCAGTTGATTTTCCCAAGACTGGCGTTCCACCCCAGTCTCTTACTAAAAATTGGGAGCCTGAAAAGCCTCCCGGTGAAAATGGAGAACCGGGTCAGCCAGCAATGCCTCCAGAGCGCGCTGAACGTTCGCCAGATTTTATGGAGAAAAATAACGAACCCATGTATATATCGTCACGTTTGAACGGCCAACTTTATAGGTTTAATATTTTATTGGTTAATTGTAAGATATTTTTTATTTTAGAAGAGCAAAAGAAATTGACGACATTCTGACAATTGCTACTCAGGATGAAGAGATGGCAAATATCGAGTTGATTTATTATTTGATATTTTAATGTAATATTTTAAAGACTAGATCCATTAATCACTTACCCTGGTTGTGATGATCCAGCAATGCTTGATTTGGCACAACAACATTATGAATCTTACTCGGCAAATATTCAGGTCTTTATAAATATTTTGTTAAGTTCACATGGATTTTAAGAACGTTCTCGACTGTTATGGAATTAAAGCCGAGGGTGAACTGTTCTCTGGACATTTTGCTTCGTTGCGAAATCGGCTTAGTGATAAGGATAGTGACGATATGAGGTTTTTTGTTGTCAATTCTTTTTTATGTAATTTTTTGGTTTAAGTTTTTACAACACTACCAATGCAATTGAGCAGCAATTGTTCAGCATTTTTAGTCGTTTTCGGCGTCAATTCTTTGAAACTTCCTTTAATAATAATCCTGCCTATCGGTATGAAGATGTCACAGTTCCTGTTCATTCTTATGCTCGTACAAATGGCGTAAAGGTATTTATGATATTAAAACAAATTCTTTTACCTTATTTAGGATGTTTTTCGACGCATATGTATTGATCCAACTGATGACTTCAAAAGATTAGCTTGTGCTTACTACCAAATTTCATATAGTAATTTTTATATTTATTGTTTATTTTGAGAGATGGGATAAACATTTCTAATTTTTAAATCTTTTAGATTCTACAACTCATCATCTTCTTTCTTTTCCATGTATGATTTGCGTTTATAAAATTTTAGAATTTAAACAAGCTAAATAAATACGTTGTAAGACTAATTAGGAATGGGATAAAGAGTACACATGAAATAATTTAAGATAAATTATATAAAGTTGTCACCATTAATTTTTAAGGGCTTGCTTGGGATGTGATTAACGCGCTTCGACGAGTGAATGCTGTTAATTCACTGAAATCTGACAATCGTTATTCTTTTGATCCATTAAGCGATAAAATCTCAGAACATATTGAGGAATATCTTTTAAACAGAAAAAAACAATTTAGGTAAACTTTTAGCTATTTTTAAATATTTTTGTTTCAGGGAGTTCGTAAAAGTCATGCAATCTCCAGAAAGTATGCCATCTGAAGATCAAGAGGCATACAGAATACTTAATCTTTACTGTTTAAATTATGAAGGTTTGGATTACAAGTTTTTTTAATTTTTATGACTTCTTAAGGATTGGACAAACTTCTTTTCTATTGTGTGAAGTGGGCAAGAATGTGGCGACTTTTGGGTGACGGTCAGAGTGGAATAACACAATTACATATTTGTATATTGCTTATCCAATTTGGTCTTAATCATTTGCCTTGTGAGGCGATTGAATCTCGACCATTTTGGCTTGAACAGGTTTTTGCTTAAAATTTTTTCAAATATATTTTTAAGATTCAAACGGATGCGTTTGATACTCAAAGAGTTGTAAGTCTTGAGCGCCAACATGGAGGTTTAGGAAACAAATTTTTTCTCTTCATGGAATTTCTTGCATCTCGACAATTTCATTTATTACAAGTTTTGGATTTTAGTGAACCTGGAATGCGTTATCAGTCAGTATTAATGCATACTCAACTTGAATATATCCACAAGGTATTTTTATACATTTTCAATTAAAAGATTTATTGCTTATTTTCTTTGTAAACATTATCTTAAATTCTGTTTTACTTGGGTGTACTTGTGTAATCTTGGTTAAGTGGTTGTGGTTTGGGATTTTTTGTGTGTGTCCTAAATTTTGTAAAGCCTATGATGATAATCTGTGCATGTATTAATCGAAATTTCATGAGAACTGACGATCGATTCTGAGGCTACTATTTTTAAAATTGAATTATTAAACCTTGATTTAGAATTTTTTGAAAATTTAGGCTGGACTTCAAACTTATCATCAAGTAGCATTTACTTTTCGGCTTGAATGTATTCCCGGCACAGCATCTCAACGTGAACGGAATGGCATTACAAGTCCTCAAGAACGTGAATGTGAACCATTTATAATTGAAGTGCCGGCAAGTCGTCAAGAACAAGTTATCAATAATTATGATTTGCTGAACAAGCTTTGTGATGCAACCGGGTGTACCAACATTGTTTTTCGCGATTTACCCAAATATAAAGGTTTATCCAAGTGCATTACTTTTTACAAATTGCACATTTTAGATTATGAAACTGTTCGACTATATGTTTCTGCAACAGGGCAATTACAAGCACTTAACAAATTACGGGAATTATTGGCTGTTCGTGCACCATTAAATCTTATTGGCGATTGTCGTCAGATTTTCACACAAATGGCCGAACAACTTTATGATAGATTAATTAATTTGTAAAAATTATTATAAATGTGCCTAATATATTTTTCCAAAATACTATTTATTTTATTCCGTTTACGTCTCACGCTTTTCTTATTTTTTGGGCTCAAGTCTGTTCTTTGTATTTTTTGCCTCAGAAGATATAAGCCTTTTTTGATCTCGGTTGTTATAAATTCACTTTTTTTAACTATTTCGTTCAGGTTTATCTTGCATTTTATTGCATTTAATTTATTTCTTTCATGACTTTTTGTTTCGTGTAAAATTGAAGGAATTATCTTAACATTTTCGATTTCTGTAGTTGGCAGTTCGAATTCATATTTTAATTGTAATTTGTTTTTTGCTTATAATTAGTTCACAAACAAATGAAATGCTGGAGTATTGAGCATGTATTCAAGTAAGTGCATGTTTGAAAAGTAATTTTGAAGACCAATTATTTAATTTTTAGTCATCCGTGGCATATTGTGGTTGGTGCGGCTTTTAAAAAATATCCGAATCCAGAGAATGAAGATATTCTTGGGATCGATGTTATTAAACAACGTTTAAGGAATGGTGTGCTTTATTCTGAAAGAATTATTCAATCAAATTTTCACATCCCTGTCTGGGCTAGCAAGGTATTAGTAGATTTACTTTGAATTTTTACTCTTTTTAAAAGTTGGGTGGATTCAGTGGTCATCAATATTCTCTTGAATCTACTCAAGTTGATCCTAAAAATCGGGTAATGACACTTGTTACGAGAAATGTATGTTTTATTTAAAATTTTAATCTGTAAAATTTTAGTTAAATTGTTATCATCTTTTACGGATTGATGAACGTTTGACTTATACTTCAGCTGCTGATACTGCTCAAACACGTCTAAAACAGGAAACAACAATTTCCGTCAATTTACCTTTTCTTAAGGATTTTTGCGAGAGGAGTTTTCTTTCAATTTACACTCATTATGCTCAAAGGGTAAAATATCTTTAATTCTTATTGAAACATAATCAAACTCTTAGTCTATTTCGGCGTTTGAAAATTCTTTTTCAAATCGAATACGTAATCTCGATACTAATAATTCGTTCGTATCAGACCATGGAAGTTTAAAATACTGCTAGCTTTTTCATATAACAATGTAAAATAATCATTTTCTATTAAGGGTCCAGAAGGCCTTAAATGGGTGATCCAGCACGAATTCAATGGGCAAAAGTGATTTAAAATATATTTGGAAATATTAGATCTCCAGATTTTTATGTTTTCCCTTTGTTATGCAAATGATTTTATTAAATTTTACACTTTTATTTTTTCATTTTTAATAGTTTTATTCTTTTTACATATTATATTTAAATCGTTTTTTATTTAAATTTCTTTCAAGTTATAATTTAAATTTATATTTACAAATGTTCATCAGAGCAGCTCCGCCATCTGACCAGAAACCTTATAGACCACCTCCAGGAAAATTGTCAATTTTTTCTTCCATTTACAACGATCCTTATTATTGGTATGTTTTTCTTAAAATTAAAAATCTTTAAAATTAGGTCGCTTACAAAAAGTATTGTTGGTTTTGCTGTCGGTGTTTTTGTTGCGAGACATTTGAGTGAAGAATTGAATTCTGCTGATGTTGGGTTTTGAAAGGATTTTTCTTTGATTATGAGAAGTTATTTTGTTAAAATTTTTAAATATTGATAAATTTATGAAAGTTTTATTATTCCGTTTACACATAGGATATTATTCCAGACAGCTTTTACATCGAGTATTTTGTTAATTTATTGTTGTGTAATTTTTGGTTTAATAATAAATTTGCCAAAAATGAGTAAACATTTAATCGACGTGTCTGTTGCCGTACTTGAAGATCATTTTGGCTATTACATCGCGCGTATTGGGAATATATTGTTGCGTGAGGCATTACCTTTGGCTCTTTTAGCAAGAAACTTAGCTCCTTTGAAGATTTCACTAAAAGATGTATTTTTTCTAATTTTATACTTTGCTATTATTTTTAATTTTCAGATAAGAAATTCATTGGCTATTCTTGACCAACATAATTTGTTAACGTTTGAATTGGGTTCTCGTTCTATTATTTACTCAATTTGCCCTAATCAAGTTCTTTATTTGATAAGTGCCCCTCGTGCAATTTTGGTTTTTATATTTTATATAATTTTAAAGAAAACAATTTTTTAGTTAATTAAAACTTTATATGAAGGGGTTACTGATGCTATTTTTGAAGATATTTTGGCTAAAGGACGTTCTAGTTGTTCTGATTGCATTCGTAGAGTTTCCAAATGTATGGATGATTTACCTTTTGAAAAAGTTTTTTTTAAATTTTTTTTTAAAATAAAATTTTAATTTTAGGTTAAATCTGATTTTTCTAAACTTTTATCTTTTCAAATACTTATTCGATGCCCTCAAGTTGCTGAAGAATCTTCAGAAGTATTTCCTGTGTTTCAAGTTGAATCCGATCTTTTTCTGCTACCGGATGTGATACTTGATGGTTATTCTGATGCTGAAAATGATTCTGTTAGTTTAAAAAATTTTTAGATTTCTCTTACATCCTTTAAATTTTGGTTCTCTCACCTTTCTCAGTAATTTTGAATTTCAATTAAAATTTTGTTCATATTTTAGGAAACAATTAAATCAAAAACTAAAAAATTAGACAGCGATTCTAATATTCTTTGGAGAGTTAATTGGACAAGTATTGAACGTTTGTTTCGTGATGATTTAATTCTTGATTCACTTATTGGCGGTTCTCAAAATGATTTATTTGATAAAACAACAGTAAAAGTTGCACAACTTATTTTAAAAGTTGGAGATGCTAAAAATAAAAATAATTTATTTATTGGACAATCTTCGCCTATTTCTGTTGGTTTTTATTTTCTATTTACTTAATTAATCTTTCTCTATAATGAAAAAAAATAATTCGAAAATGAGTAAATGTTAGAATTATTTTTTGGATTTATTTCAGCTTCAAGATGTTTGTCGTTATGTACATGAAAATCAACTTGATTATAATCGTGAAATGTTGGATGAAAAATTAAATATTATTTGTAGAGATATGACTGGAATTTTACGTAGAGTTGGTGATAGTGGTGGAGGTGTTTATATAATTAGTTAAATTATTTTTGGAAATTTTTTTTGAAAAAAATTTCTTTTTAGATTATGAAAAGGGTATTGAAACACTTTGTTTGGAACATATAGAATCAGCAATAAGAGAAAAAATAAATGATAAAGCTGTTAGAATATTTAGATTATTAAATTCTAGAGGGTTTTTGGAAGAAGAACAGGTTTAGAATTAATTTTTAAATTTAAATTTTTGTTTTTTTAAAGTTAGAAAAGGAGGCAATGCTTTCTTCTAAAGAAACAAAAGAATTGCGTTGAAACAAAAGAATTGCGTTGAAGAAACAAAAGAATTGCGTGTTGCCATAACTTTGTTATTATGGCAACACGACCTCCGTGGTAAACTAAAACGTATTTTGGAGGCAGGCCCGTAACTAGGATTTTTTTTCGGGGGGGGGGGGGGGGGAATTTTTTGCGCCAAATTTTTGGCGCCGAAGGCGCCAAAAATTTTTATTTTCAGCGCCGCAGGCGAAAATTTTGAGAATTTTAGAAGGCCGTAGGCCAAAAAAATTCACTTTTTCGGCGCCGCAGGCGCCAAAAATTTGATTTTCAGCGCCGCAGGCGAAAATTTTTTGAATTTTGGACCTCAAGAAGCCAGATTTCGTCCTTTTTTAGCGCCGCAGGCGAAAATTTTTTAAATTTCAGAGGCCGTAGGCCAAAAAATTCACTTATTTTGCCCCAGCCCTTCCCCAAATTTTTTCCTTTTTCCCATTTCGGGGGGGGGGGGGGGGGGGGAATTCCCCCCCTCACCCCCCCCCTGGTTACGGGCCTGTTTGGAGGGGTTAACATTAGATAAAATACAATATCGATACCAAAGTCAACATTCGTAAAATATCATAGATGGATTTTTGAATCTTATTTTTTGCTTTAACTTTGGGCTGCAAATCTCATACGCCAATCATTTTTATTACCATTTTCTTTTTTTTCAATTTTAATGCACTAACTTTCAGTCTTATCTACTTTAATTTTAGCTCTTAAATCGTTTGGCCATGTCTGCAGAGCGCTTTGTTGAATTCCGAACTTTTACTCCAGATGCTTTCTTTCCCTTTCGAAAGTTATAATTTTTCTCTTTTTTTTTAAATTTTTTTTAACTTTCAGGTTTATTCAATCTCCACTTGAAAATGAGAATTGTCGTCAGATGTGTGAGAACAATTATAAATTATTGTATATGATTGCAGCACTTTTATCTCGAGGAGCAATTGTTAAGGACTATTTAATGGTAACTGAAGCATCACGGGATGAATTTGTACAGCGGTGTTCAAAAGATTTTAAAAGGGATAAAGCTGTATGTGTTTCTAAAAGAATCATTTATTTTTTTTGTGTTTAGCTATCGTTGGAAGTTATTGAGCAAGTACTGGCTGAAATTGATAAACGTTTAGATTGCATCCATCCAATGCAAATCTACAAATGGATTTACCACCGTTTAAGTCGTAATGTTGATGCAATGAAACAAATCCATGAGGATATGATGCGAGAGGGATATGTACGCGTTAGAAAAGTTTATATGATTTAATTTTTAGATTTACTTTTTAATTTTTAGGTATTAATTACTCCAACACGAATGCTTTTTGTTGCACCTGAATTGTTAATGGGAAATCGTGTGTTGCGATTGGATGCTGAAAAATATCCTCTTGATAAATTTCTTCGTGTTGTTTTTCGTGATGATGATGGTAAAAAGATTAAAAGTTGTATACATGTAATATTTTTCCCTTAAACAGGACAATCTGTCCATGCTGTGAACATTGGTGCCGTTCTTATTGATCGTTTTATTGGATTACGCCTTAGAAATGGCATTGAAATTGCTTGTAATAAACTATTTTATTATATAATATTTTTCTATATTTAGGCCGTAAATTTAACTACTTTGGTTCTTCTAATTCTCAAATGCGTGATAATGGTTGTTATTTCATTAATGCAAGTTTTGAAGAAATCGAGGATATCCGTAAGCAGTTGGGCTCGTTCAAAATACAATCAGCGCCTAAAATGATGTCTCGGATTGCTCAATGTTTTACTCAAGCTCGGGTAGGCGTTGTGGAAAACTATTTTTTATTAAAGATTTTTTTAAGGAAACGGGCTTAGAATTGGAACGTCGTCATTATGCGACAATTCATGACTATCTTGGCGGCAAAGATACAAATTCTGAGCCATATAATTTCTCTGATGGGGTGGGGCGAATCAGTTACGAAACTGCTAAGGAATTGAGTCGTGAGCTTAAATTGGATGGTTGCGTGCCTTCTTGCTTTCAAATACGTTTTCGCGGCTATAAAGGTGAATAAGTTCTATATATTATCTCTTAAATTATAGGCGTTTTGTCTGTTGATAAATCTATGGATGAACTTCGTGAATGGGGAGTTCGCAATGGTGTGCAAGATACTACAAACTGGGAAAAGCGTGATTGTTGGCTCGATTTACATATTCAATTTCGGCCTTCGCAAAAGAAATTTAAAGCACCCAGAGCTAATCAAAAGTTGGAAATTGTTAAATATTCTTCACCTGTTTCATTGTGTTTGAATCGTCCTGTTAACAATATTCTTGATCAAGTGAGTTATATTTACTAGTAAAACTGGTAAATTTTTTAGGTATCTGCTCAACAGAGTAAAGCTTCTCATCAACGAATTTGTAATCGCATTCACCATCTTATGGATTTACATCTTCATATGCTGACACGCTCCTTAATTGACGAGACGAAAGCTCGAAATCGACTTGGTGAATTTCCTAAAGTGGTATGATAATTTAATTATAATAATCTAACAATAATAATCTAACAATCTAAATATAATAATGTTTCCTACTTTTTAGATACTTTATGATCAAATAACTGACCTTAATTTAACAAAAGAACCGTTCTTTCGTTCGATGATAAGTGCTTCTGTGCGAGCTTCATTGAGTATGTTGTCGAATTGGGTACACCTATGTACCGTAAGGCCAACGTACATTACTTTGTAATATTTCGATTAAGCTTGTCGAGACGCATTGAACCATACCAGTGCGTTCGAGATTCTTATTGATGCATGGGCTTGCGGTACATTGAAAGTCTCCCTTGCAGATTAAGTTTGCTTTCATAGTGTATTTTGTATTTTAAGAAAAGTTGCGCCTAAAACTTCAAATTCCCATTCCTACAACGCTGGGCCGTGCGATGTTTGGTATTGTAGATGAAAGTGGACAGTTACAATATGGACAAGTATTTATTCGTTACACAAAAAATGCTGCATTGAAATTGCCAATGCCAACAGCCGAGCGTCAAGTTCTAAAGGGTAAACTTCAATATAATTATACGGTTCTCTTGTGTTATTTCACTCCCCAGCCCAATTTTTGTTTTTTCCGACTTGATCGGCTGTAACTTTTTATGCTTATCTAATCCGAATGAATCTTATATCATTCTAAAGCCCTCCATAAACCCTAACTTTTTTCTAACGATTTTTCTAATGTGACTTATTTATATTTTTAGGTCCAGTGATGATCACAAAAAATCCTTCAATTGTTGCCGGCGATATACGTATGTTTAATGCTGTAGATATTCCTGCTTTGCATCATCTTTGTGATGTTGTTGTTTTTCCACGCTATGGACCTAGACCACATACAGATGAAATGGCTGGTTAATTTTTAAATCTCAAACTTTGAAAATATCTTATAAAGGTTCTGATTTGGACGGCGATGAATACACCGTGATTTGGGATGAGCAACTTTACCTTGATAAAAATGAGGATGCATTTGATTACACTTGCAAGTCTTTTATTTTTTAAGCGTATTATTCTTCTTGCTTACTAATATAAGGGCTCAAGAAGCAGCGGCAATAAGTGAGAAAGACTTACGTGATAAAATGGCAGAATTTTTTGTTGACTATATTAAACAGGACTCCATTGGTCGTATTGCAAATGCATTCTTAGTCAATTCAGATTTATATGGCATCAAAAGTGAAATTTGTATGAGAGTGAGTTTTTCCAATTGTTAAGAATTACGTCAATTCTGTCTTCAATTTATTAATTTCGTTCTTTTTTACTCAGATAGCTGCAAAACATATGGAAGCAGTTGATTTTCCCAAGACTGGCGTTCCACCCCAGTCTCTTACTAAAAATTGGGAGCCTGAAAAGCCTCCCGGTGAAAATGGAGAACCGGGTCAGCCAGCAATGCCTCCAGAGCGCGCTGAACGTTCGCCAGATTTTATGGAGAAAAATAACGAACCCATGTATATATCGTCACGTTTGAACGGCCAACTTTATAGGTTTAATATTTTATTGGTTAATTGTAAGATATTTTTTATTTTAGAAGAGCAAAAGAAATTGACGACATTCTGACAATTGCTACTCAGGATGAAGAGATGGCAAATATCGAGTTGATTTATTATTTGATATTTTAATGTAATATTTTAAAGACTAGATCCATTAATCACTTACCCTGGTTGTGATGATCCAGCAATGCTTGATTTGGCACAACAACATTATGAATCTTACTCGGCAAATATTCAGGTCTTTATAAATATTTTGTTAAGTTCACATGGATTTTAAGAACGTTCTCGACTGTTATGGAATTAAAGCCGAGGGTGAACTGTTCTCTGGACATTTTGCTTCGTTGCGAAATCGGCTTAGTGATAAGGATAGTGACGATATGAGGTTTTTTGTTGTCAATTCTTTTTTATGTAATTTTTTGGTTTAAGTTTTTACAACACTACCAATGCAATTGAGCAGCAATTGTTCAGCATTTTTAGTCGTTTTCGGCGTCAATTCTTTGAAACTTCCTTTAATAATAATCCTGCCTATCGGTATGAAGATGTCACAGTTCCTGTTCATTCTTATGCTCGTACAAATGGCGTAAAGGTATTTATGATATTAAAACAAATTCTTTTACCTTATTTAGGATGTTTTTCGACGCATATGTATTGATCCAACTGATGACTTCAAAAGATTAGCTTGTGCTTACTACCAAATTTCATATAGTAATTTTTATATTTATTGTTTATTTTGAGAGATGGGATAAACATTTCTAATTTTTAAATCTTTTAGATTCTACAACTCATCATCTTCTTTCTTTTCCATGTATGATTTGCGTTTATAAAATTTTAGAATTTAAACAAGCTAAATAAATACGTTGTAAGACTAATTAGGAATGGGATAAAGAGTACACATGAAATAATTTAAGATAAATTATATAAAGTTGTCACCATTAATTTTTAAGGGCTTGCTTGGGATGTGATTAACGCGCTTCGACGAGTGAATGCTGTTAATTCACTGAAATCTGACAATCGTTATTCTTTTGATCCATTAAGCGATAAAATCTCAGAACATATTGAGGAATATCTTTTAAACAGAAAAAAACAATTTAGGTAAACTTTTAGCTATTTTTAAATATTTTTGTTTCAGGGAGTTCGTAAAAGTCATGCAATCTCCAGAAAGTATGCCATCTGAAGATCAAGAGGCATACAGAATACTTAATCTTTACTGTTTAAATTATGAAGGTTTGGATTACAAGTTTTTTTAATTTTTATGACTTCTTAAGGATTGGACAAACTTCTTTTCTATTGTGTGAAGTGGGCAAGAATGTGGCGACTTTTGGGTGACGGTCAGAGTGGAATAACACAATTACATATTTGTATATTGCTTATCCAATTTGGTCTTAATCATTTGCCTTGTGAGGCGATTGAATCTCGACCATTTTGGCTTGAACAGGTTTTTGCTTAAAATTTTTTCAAATATATTTTTAAGATTCAAACGGATGCGTTTGATACTCAAAGAGTTGTAAGTCTTGAGCGCCAACATGGAGGTTTAGGAAACAAATTTTTTCTCTTCATGGAATTTCTTGCATCTCGACAATTTCATTTATTACAAGTTTTGGATTTTAGTGAACCTGGAATGCGTTATCAGTCAGTATTAATGCATACTCAACTTGAATATATCCACAAGGTATTTTTATACATTTTCAATTAAAAGATTTATTGCTTATTTTCTTTGTAAACATTATCTTAAATTCTGTTTTACTTGGGTGTACTTGTGTAATCTTGGTTAAGTGGTTGTGGTTTGGGATTTTTTGTGTGTGTCCTAAATTTTGTAAAGCCTATGATGATAATCTGTGCATGTATTAATCGAAATTTCATGAGAACTGACGATCGATTCTGAGGCTACTATTTTTAAAATTGAATTATTAAACCTTGATTTAGAATTTTTTGAAAATTTAGGCTGGACTTCAAACTTATCATCAAGTAGCATTTACTTTTCGGCTTGAATGTATTCCCGGCACAGCATCTCAACGTGAACGGAATGGCATTACAAGTCCTCAAGAACGTGAATGTGAACCATTTATAATTGAAGTGCCGGCAAGTCGTCAAGAACAAGTTATCAATAATTATGATTTGCTGAACAAGCTTTGTGATGCAACCGGGTGTACCAACATTGTTTTTCGCGATTTACCCAAATATAAAGGTTTATCCAAGTGCATTACTTTTTACAAATTGCACATTTTAGATTATGAAACTGTTCGACTATATGTTTCTGCAACAGGGCAATTACAAGCACTTAACAAATTACGGGAATTATTGGCTGTTCGTGCACCATTAAATCTTATTGGCGATTGTCGTCAGATTTTCACACAAATGGCCGAACAACTTTATGATAGATTAATTAATTTGTAAAAATTATTATAAATGTGCCTAATATATTTTTCCAAAATACTATTTATTTTATTCCGTTTACGTCTCACGCTTTTCTTATTTTTTGGGCTCAAGTCTGTTCTTTGTATTTTTTGCCTCAGAAGATATAAGCCTTTTTTGATCTCGGTTGTTATAAATTCACTTTTTTTAACTATTTCGTTCAGGTTTATCTTGCATTTTATTGCATTTAATTTATTTCTTTCATGACTTTTTGTTTCGTGTAAAATTGAAGGAATTATCTTAACATTTTCGATTTCTGTAGTTGGCAGTTCGAATTCATATTTTAATTGTAATTTGTTTTTTGCTTATAATTAGTTCACAAACAAATGAAATGCTGGAGTATTGAGCATGTATTCAAGTAAGTGCATGTTTGAAAAGTAATTTTGAAGACCAATTATTTAATTTTTAGTCATCCGTGGCATATTGTGGTTGGTGCGGCTTTTAAAAAATATCCGAATCCAGAGAATGAAGATATTCTTGGGATCGATGTTATTAAACAACGTTTAAGGAATGGTGTGCTTTATTCTGAAAGAATTATTCAATCAAATTTTCACATCCCTGTCTGGGCTAGCAAGGTATTAGTAGATTTACTTTGAATTTTTACTCTTTTTAAAAGTTGGGTGGATTCAGTGGTCATCAATATTCTCTTGAATCTACTCAAGTTGATCCTAAAAATCGGGTAATGACACTTGTTACGAGAAATGTATGTTTTATTTAAAATTTTAATCTGTAAAATTTTAGTTAAATTGTTATCATCTTTTACGGATTGATGAACGTTTGACTTATACTTCAGCTGCTGATACTGCTCAAACACGTCTAAAACAGGAAACAACAATTTCCGTCAATTTACCTTTTCTTAAGGATTTTTGCGAGAGGAGTTTTCTTTCAATTTACACTCATTATGCTCAAAGGGTAAAATATCTTTAATTCTTATTGAAACATAATCAAACTCTTAGTCTATTTCGGCGTTTGAAAATTCTTTTTCAAATCGAATACGTAATCTCGATACTAATAATTCGTTCGTATCAGACCATGGAAGTTTAAAATACTGCTAGCTTTTTCATATAACAATGTAAAATAATCATTTTCTATTAAGGGTCCAGAAGGCCTTAAATGGGTGATCCAGCACGAATTCAATGGGCAAAAGTGATTTAAAATATATTTGGAAATATTAGATCTCCAGATTTTTATGTTTTCCCTTTGTTATGCAAATGATTTTATTAAATTTTACACTTTTATTTTTTCATTTTTAATAGTTTTATTCTTTTTACATATTATATTTAAATCGTTTTTTATTTAAATTTCTTTCAAGTTATAATTTAAATTTATATTTACAAATGTTCATCAGAGCAGCTCCGCCATCTGACCAGAAACCTTATAGACCACCTCCAGGAAAATTGTCAATTTTTTCTTCCATTTACAACGATCCTTATTATTGGTATGTTTTTCTTAAAATTAAAAATCTTTAAAATTAGGTCGCTTACAAAAAGTATTGTTGGTTTTGCTGTCGGTGTTTTTGTTGCGAGACATTTGAGTGAAGAATTGAATTCTGCTGATGTTGGGTTTTGAAAGGATTTTTCTTTGATTATGAGAAGTTATTTTGTTAAAATTTTTAAATATTGATAAATTTATGAAAGTTTTATTATTCCGTTTACACATAGGATATTATTCCAGACAGCTTTTACATCGAGTATTTTGTTAATTTATTGTTGTGTAATTTTTGGTTTAATAATAAATTTGCCAAAAATGAGTAAACATTTAATCGACGTGTCTGTTGCCGTACTTGAAGATCATTTTGGCTATTACATCGCGCGTATTGGGAATATATTGTTGCGTGAGGCATTACCTTTGGCTCTTTTAGCAAGAAACTTAGCTCCTTTGAAGATTTCACTAAAAGATGTATTTTTTCTAATTTTATACTTTGCTATTATTTTTAATTTTCAGATAAGAAATTCATTGGCTATTCTTGACCAACATAATTTGTTAACGTTTGAATTGGGTTCTCGTTCTATTATTTACTCAATTTGCCCTAATCAAGTTCTTTATTTGATAAGTGCCCCTCGTGCAATTTTGGTTTTTATATTTTATATAATTTTAAAGAAAACAATTTTTTAGTTAATTAAAACTTTATATGAAGGGGTTACTGATGCTATTTTTGAAGATATTTTGGCTAAAGGACGTTCTAGTTGTTCTGATTGCATTCGTAGAGTTTCCAAATGTATGGATGATTTACCTTTTGAAAAAGTTTTTTTTAAATTTTTTTTTAAAATAAAATTTTAATTTTAGGTTAAATCTGATTTTTCTAAACTTTTATCTTTTCAAATACTTATTCGATGCCCTCAAGTTGCTGAAGAATCTTCAGAAGTATTTCCTGTGTTTCAAGTTGAATCCGATCTTTTTCTGCTACCGGATGTGATACTTGATGGTTATTCTGATGCTGAAAATGATTCTGTTAGTTTAAAAAATTTTTAGATTTCTCTTACATCCTTTAAATTTTGGTTCTCTCACCTTTCTCAGTAATTTTGAATTTCAATTAAAATTTTGTTCATATTTTAGGAAACAATTAAATCAAAAACTAAAAAATTAGACAGCGATTCTAATATTCTTTGGAGAGTTAATTGGACAAGTATTGAACGTTTGTTTCGTGATGATTTAATTCTTGATTCACTTATTGGCGGTTCTCAAAATGATTTATTTGATAAAACAACAGTAAAAGTTGCACAACTTATTTTAAAAGTTGGAGATGCTAAAAATAAAAATAATTTATTTATTGGACAATCTTCGCCTATTTCTGTTGGTTTTTATTTTCTATTTACTTAATTAATCTTTCTCTATAATGAAAAAAAATAATTCGAAAATGAGTAAATGTTAGAATTATTTTTTGGATTTATTTCAGCTTCAAGATGTTTGTCGTTATGTACATGAAAATCAACTTGATTATAATCGTGAAATGTTGGATGAAAAATTAAATATTATTTGTAGAGATATGACTGGAATTTTACGTAGAGTTGGTGATAGTGGTGGAGGTGTTTATATAATTAGTTAAATTATTTTTGGAAATTTTTTTTGAAAAAAATTTCTTTTTAGATTATGAAAAGGGTATTGAAACACTTTGTTTGGAACATATAGAATCAGCAATAAGAGAAAAAATAAATGATAAAGCTGTTAGAATATTTAGATTATTAAATTCTAGAGGGTTTTTGGAAGAAGAACAGGTTTAGAATTAATTTTTAAATTTAAATTTTTGTTTTTTTAAAGTTAGAAAAGGAGGCAATGCTTTCTTCTAAAGAAACAAAAGAATTGCGTTGTTCTTTAATGGATAATAGCTTTATTACAACTCGGGTATATTTATTAAAAATAAAAGTATTTATTGGATAAATTTTGTTTTTAATTTTTGTTTTAAGTCTCTAAAGTTAAATTAATTTTTGGTACAAATTCAATGAATTTTCATTTTAAAATTATTTACCTAGCCGGAATTCCTACATTTGATTTTATAAAAAAATTAATTTAAAATTAAAAGCTTTTATTTTTTTACAGCAAGTTGCTCGTGCCAATGATTTTGCCCCTGCTCGACTTACTTTTTTATATATTGTAAATAAATCTCAATTATTAAGTGCTGTTATTGACTATACTTTACTGGTATTTTATTCACTTTAATACAAATTTTTTTTAATTAATTAGACAATTAGAAATGTAATCAGAAGAAGAATGGTTGAAAGAGAAAAATATGAGTAAGAGAATTTTTTAAAATTAGTTTTGAGTATTTCAGAGCTGGTAGAATAATTTTAGTTATTTTAAATGTGTCCAGTTCGTTTTTTAGATTTGTTTTTAATAATTTTTTAATCCCCCCCCCCTCATCTTTTCTAATTATAATTTAACCATTTTTAGGCCACTCTTGGATCGCCAACTTAAAATGGAAGTAATTATAAGTAGTATCGAAAATAACCAAAATATTGCTGAAGATGATGAAGAAACAAAAAAGGAACAGGTTTTTGTAGTTCTTATTTAAATTTAAAATTTTATTTTTTTTAAAGATTGCGGAAGTAGAACGTGCCTACATGACAACAGAAGATCGTCGAAATTTAGAACGTTTTCGTCGTGCTGAACGAAAATTTTGTTCTGCAGAAATTGAATTGGGGCGTTTACATTTTGCTTTAAAACATTTTTATCAATTAAGACAACAAATAAATGCTGAACAACAAAGACAAATTTCAACACAAGGAAAGCGTAAAAGAACATATCAACAAGCACATTTTTCATAGAAAATTTATTTTAATGAATAAATTTTGTTGGGTTTTAATTGATTAATTAAAAAAGCAAAATTATTTTGAATTCTTTAAATTCTACTTATATTTTTACTTGTTTTTTAATTAATTTTTACTAAATTGTGTATTTTTTAGAATTAAAAATTGTTAAGGGAGTACAGCCTCAAATTTCAAGGAAATGTCACAGCATAAACAACTTGATCCGAAACTTGCCAGTCAGCTACAAGAAAGCTTTACAAGTGTTGGAGTTAATCAAGTTATTCTAAAATTGACCAGTCGCTGTTTTGATATCTGCTATGGAGATTATGCACCACACAAATTACCAGCATCGAGTGATAAACGACAAGCAACATGTTTGGAAAATTGTACTCAACGGCTAATGGAAAGCTATGAATTTTTAAACAAACATTTGGAGAAAATGCAGTTGAGAACGTGAGAAGATAAAACGATATTCGCTTAAAATTGTTGACTTATGTAAAATTAAACTATTTTTGCTCGTTCTTGCCTAAAAGCCGGCTTAGAAAGTAAACTTTAACCTTATTTCTTTACCGTGTTCCCAACAAATAAAACATCTAACTGTAAACCGAAAATTTTTTTATCGATGATACAATTTTTAATAGGTTTATCGATTTATAATCAGATGCGATCATGGAGGTACTTTAGCCAATAGGTTTGGATAGAGAGGCAAAACAGACTCATTTAAAAGTCTAAAGAATTGATCGCATCCTTATTTTACATATCAAGAAAAATCAAGGAATTATAGTCCAATACAATGACAGCATTATGCCGATCCCGTTACTTTCTTAGTTTCCTCCACGAAGACGCAAGACCAAGTGAAGAGTCGACTCCTTTTGAATGTTGTAGTCAGCAAGAGTACGACCGTCCTCGAGTTGCTTTCCAGCGAAGATCTAGAAATTGAAATGAGCTACAAAATCAATTATATAGATAACAAACCAGACGCTGCTGATCTGGTGGAATGCCTTCCTTGTCCTGAATTTTGGCTTTGACATTTTCTATAGTGTCAGATGCCTCAACTTCGAGGGTGATAGTTTTCCCAGTCAACGTTTTCACGAAGATTTGCATTCCACCACGAAGACGCAAAACGAGGTGAAGAGTTGATTCCTTCTGGATGTTATAATCAGCAAGAGTGCGTCCATCCTCAAGCTGTTTGCCAGCGAAGATCTAAACATTGAACTTTGAAATTAAACAAATGAGAAATAAAAACCAATCGTTGCTGATCAGGAGGAATTCCTTCTTTGTCCTGAATCTTGGCCTTAACGTTCTCAATGGTATCAGAAGCTTCCACTTCCAGAGTGATTGTCTTTCCCGTGAGGGTCTTCACAAAGATTTGCATCCCACCTCGAAGTCGCAAAACAAGATGAAGAGTTGATTCCTTCTGGATGTTGTAATCAGCAAGAGTACGCCCATCCTCAAGCTGTTTACCAGCGAAGATCTAAAAATTGAGATTGAAGATTAAACAAATGTCAAGTAAAAACCAATCGTTGCTGATCAGGCGGAATTCCTTCCTTATCTTGAATCTTGGCCTTGACGTTTTCGATAGTGTCGGAAGCTTCAACTTCGAGAGTGATGGTCTTTCCAGTAAGAGTCTTAACGAAAATCTGCATGCCACCGCGAAGACGCAAAACAAGATGGAGAGTCGATTCCTTCTGGATATTATAGTCAGCAAGGGTGCGCCCGTCCTCAAGCTGCTTTCCAGCAAAGATCTAAAAATTGAGATTGAAAATTAAACAAGAAGGAAATACAAACCAATCGCTGCTGATCTGGAGGAATGCCTTCCTTGTCTTGAATTTTCGCCTTCACATTTTCGATGGTATCAGAAGCCTCAACTTCAAGAGTGATCGTTTTTCCAGTAAGAGTCTTGACGAAGATCTGCATATTGGAGAGTTGGATATTTGTTTATATTCAAAAATAGCTAAAAATATTTAAGCTTTAATAGGGAAAGTTTTAAAGAAATTTAAATTTCTTAAGAAAAGAATTATCTAGAATAAAATGATGAAATTAATGTCACAAGATAGAGGACCAAAATAACCAAGGAAACTGAGGAAATAAATGAAGAATGGTGGATAGCAGCACGAAACTATTCGTCTTAAATGGTGTCGATTTGTTGTAAAAACGATCAATTAAGATTACTGTATATTTCGTTTCAAAATATATTTTATATTATCAAACTGCAAATTTTGCGACATTTTATCCAATTTATTATTTTTGTTTTTTTGCAATTTAATTTTTAATTATTTCTTTTTAAATTAGTCGTTTGAATTTTCTTCAATTAATTAAAATGTCCAAAGGAGCTGTCAAATTTACAAAGGAAGATGAGCTTTTGCTGAAGGTTTGAATTTAATTTTCACATTATAGTTAATTAATTTAATAGGATTTTTCTTCCGCTGTTTCCAAAAAGAATCAAGTCGTTTTCTACGGAATTTCATCATTTGTTGGTATTACACCAATTTATTTGTTTTATGGGGCTCATCAAATGGAAATTTCTGATTCATGGTTTATTTGGATTGCGGCTGCTGTTGGCGTTGCTTATTTGTTGGCGCTTTCTTATAAAAATATGAAACACGTGCTTAAACATCAGTGAGTTTTTTTTAAATTTTTTTTTATTAATTTTCTGTTAGGATTGTTATTAAACGAGGAGATGCTATTGCTCGTGAAATGAATCGGTTACTTGCAGATGACAAGAAGATGTCGAAAAAAGAAAGAGATGAACGAATATTATGGAAGAAAAATGAAGTTGGCGATTACGAAGCAACGCTTTTTACTATTTTTTACAACAATGTGGTAATAAATGTTTTGGTAATAGTTCGGATGAGACCCCCCCTCCTTTTTCCTTTCTAAAAGTATTAAAAATGGTCAATCAGTCCTAGGTTATAGAACTTGTCGAGCTGTGTCGAATGACACCAAAATCAATCTCTATCTTAACTTTGGGCGAGATACAGATAAAAACCCTGCGCAAAGAGAGGTTTTGCAAAAGCGTCTCACGACTACAATAGGTTTACTTTATGTCATAATTTTGTCAAATCTTGTTCAATTATGTTGATTTTGATGTCATTCGAATCAGCTCGACAGGCTCTTTCGAATGAGCTATTATTTGTTTAATCGAAATTTTTAGCCCAAAAAATTAGCTCGGTCCAACCTTTTATTTTCAATTTTCGGGGGTCTGTATCTTGCCCAAAGTTAAGACCAGGGGTTGATTTTGGTGTCATTCGACACAGCTCGACGAGTTCTATAACCTAGGACTGATTGACCATTTTTAATACTTTTAGAAAAGAAAAAAGGAGGGGGGGGGGTCTCATCCGAACTATTACCAATGTTTTTTAAATTGTTTCTAATTGGAACTTTTTAGCTTTTCTTTGCGCTTCTCATCTTTCTTTCCTTTTTTGTTCTCGCCAGTATCACGCCTCCATTTAATTGTCTTGTTTCAATGCTTGGTTCAGCTGGTATTGTTCTTTTATTGTCTACATCAAAATAATTGGAAATTAATTTAAAAAAGACAATTGTTTTGTTGTGTACAAATTTAATAGAAAAAGATATGATCTTTAAATTTTTGAGAATATTTTTTAGGCTTTTAATGTTTAAAATTTTTCGAATACATTTAATTATTTTAATTTTATAGATCATATTTCTGACTTTAATTTATGGTGTCTTTGATTAAAATATATTGTATTTGATAAATTAATTTGTTGTTATTATTTTTTTAATTGGATTAAATTCCAAATAAGACATAACAATTATGAAAGAAATTGTAAACAATTCCCTGTTTAAAAAATCTTTTCTGTCTAATTTCACTCTTTAAATGAATTTTTAGGAATTGTTTTATTTTTAAAATATGGCTTATTGTAATCGAGAACCGTCTCCTGTATTGAGACGGAAGGAGAAGGACCGATGTATGGAATTGTTACTTGACGAGGATAAGGTTTATTTTTAAATATATTTTGTATTGTTGGGTTTTCTTTTATGTTTGTTTTATGCCTATATCTGAGAATATTTTTATAGATCCATCGTATTTTGCTTCGCAGTCCAGCAATTTGTAGATTAGCAAATATTGAGTCGCCGAATTGTATTTGGTTTAAATTAGTTAATCACATAAGCGATGATTTGAGAGTTGTTAGACCGTAAGTTTTTCTTCTCCTCTGAGCGGAATTTATTTTTGATAATTTTCAGAGCAAAACTTGAACCACTTTTACCTAGAAGTAAAAAATCTGAAATAAACAAAGATGATGTTACTTTAAATTCGCCAGTTTCCTCTTCTACTTTGCCTTCAAATAATGGATTGACAACAAATACAGAAAATCCTGATGGAGTATTAGTGCCAGAAGAAGAAATTTTTCAACTTCAAAAACCTCGTTCAATTGAACTTTATGATTATGTTTTGGCACCTTTAGAAGCTAATGTTTATGCACGAGCAAGGGTATTTTTATTTATTTTAGAATTAAAATACTTATTTTTAGATAATTCACTTGAAAAAAATTCTTTATCAAACTGATCAAGACAGGCAATTAGAACGACTTTTTGCCTATGTTCATTTTATTGACGAAGGTTTTGGAGTTTGGCTTAATACAGTTATTTCTTTTTTTTTAATTTATTGCTAATTTTTTTATAGAAATGTTTAGCTAAAATGGATCCAGGTATGTACACACATCCATGGCAGACATTTGCAGTTTCAATGTTTAGAGTGCGACTTGGAAATGAATTAAATTGGTTGATATTTTAATTAAATTATTTTAACAATTTTAAGGTTGAGATTTGTTTATTTTTAGTGTTTCTATTGAGGAATTTTAACTGTTTTTAGGGTTTTTATTCAAAAATTTTAGATTCCTCGAAGAAATTATTTTTTCTTTTATAGTTCTTCACCCAATTCTCTGCCTTCCAGTTTAACTGACACGCTTATTGATATAATGTCAAATTATGAGTATTTCAAAGTTGTGCCTGTCATAGACAGTAGACGTTATCCTGATTATTTTGAATATACTAGGGTATTTTTAAATAAATTTATTTAAAATTAATTTTTTTTTCTAGGCAGAAATTTATGGTCTTGAAACTTTGGAAGATGATGAAGGGCCAGAAGGTAAAGCCGAGTCAATTACTCACAGACTTTTAATTGAATTACTTGATACTGGTCAAGAGAATAATTTTGAAGAGTTTGTATTTTTAATTAAAAAATTGAGAATTATTTATTTTTTTTAGTTTATCAAAGCAAAATATTAACGGTAAAATTGAGAAGTTATCTTTAAATGAGGCAAATAGTTCAAGTGATCCTTTGATTTTGGATAAATCATTTGATAGAGTTATTTTTGATGCAAAACAACATCCGTTGGTCAGAGAAAAGAATTTTTATTGGACGGTTTGTGTTTTTTAATTTTTTAAAAATTTTTTAAAAATTATTTGGATAATTATTTTTTAGCCAGATTTACTTGCTGAAATTCCAAAGTGGCGAATGAAGTGGCCGAAAGATTTTTGTCATGATTCACTTATTGTAAATGGAGAAAGTCTTCAACAGTCATTAAATATTTCTGATATTAATTAATTTACAAAATAAATTTTGTTTCTTTTTAAGTCTTTCCAAAAGTCGGTTTATTTTTGTGCATTCACGTTTTCGGGTCTCATCAAAAAAATTTTTGTTGTTAGTATATTATTTTTGTTTGGCCTTTATATTTTTTAAGTCAATTTACTGTTTCTTGTCTTATTTATTCGTGAAAATTGAAAAAAATGATATAAATAAATATATTTTTTATATAAATTGGGATTTTAATTTCATTAAAAGTAGTATTTCTTTTTTAAATATTTTTCTGATTACATTTAACTTTTTAAATAATTTTTAGAATGTTTTTAAAAAGAATTACTTTATTTCCTCAAAAACATTTTTATTTCTGTTTTCGTCAACTACATTTAAGTAATATATTAGAATATGGACGTTATCCATATTTTAATATTCACAAAAATGTTACTGATCCAAAGAGACAAGATCCTGATTATTTTGAAAAAGAGGCGGAGAAATTGCCTTTAGGTTTGTTTTTTTAAATTTTAAAAATAATTTTTTTAATTAAGTTATTCAATTAAAAAATATTTTGGAAGGAGGAATTAAAAGTAAATTAATTTGGAATTTGTATTTATTAAATATAAATGAATATAAAAAAATTGAGAAGAAAATGTTATTTAATAATTTTGTTTATTCAAGTAATATGTAAGTAAATTTATTTAAAAATAATTTTTTAAAAAAAATTTAGAAAAATGGAAAATGAGAATGGAGGAAATAATATGGATGGAGAACCTTTAATTGAAAAAGGTTTTTTTTTTAAATTTAAGGCCCGGACATGGCTTTAACTTTGTTTTTATACCAAATAGTTCCTCAAATTTAGCACAATTTTAAATTAATTTTGAACATCTTTAAAAATATTTTTGAGATAATTTTTTTTAAATTTCAAATTTAAAGATGAAAAACAACAAAAATCAAAAAAAGTCGAAGATTTGCCTTTAGTTTTTTGTGATTATATAATGTTAGCTTTACTTTTAACGTGTTTTTTGTGGCCTTTTTCTATGCTTTATAATTATTTACATTATGATTGGGATCAAATTTATGATGATTTTATTGAAAGAAAAATTGAAGAAAGAAACCAAAAACAACAAAAAATAATTTAATTAATTTTTTTTTTGTTTTTTTATTTAAATAAATTATTTAAAAATAATTATTTTTTAAATAAATAATTTTATTTATTTAAAATATTTTTTTGAAATTAAATTCTAAAATTTATTTAAAATTTAAAAGAAAATGTTAAAATCAAAAATATTTTTTTGTTTTATGGCAACAAATAAATTAAAAGGTTTTTATTTTAAACTAATTTTTTTAAAAGAAAAAATTTTTTTAGTTAAATTACCAAAAGAAAGTTGTCGGTATTTATGTTCTGTTGGTGGAAATGGAAGGAATTTAAATGTTTGTTTTAAAAAATTAATTGTTTGTTTTTTTTATTTATTTAAAAAAATATTTTTTTAAAAAGATTATTAGAAATAAAAGTAATTATGAAGAATTTAAAGAAGGAAAAGAAGAAGAAGAATATATTAATTTAATGAAAACTAATTTAAATGAGAAGAATGAAAGGCCAACATTTAATTATT